CAAAGTGTAATATGCTAATGACATGCTAAGGCCACTCAACTGCTCGCTATGACATGCACTCACCACCAAGGGGCAGAGGGTTGATTGGTTGACCAGTTGCTATGAAATGCACTGACCACTAGGGGGCAAATGTTCCAACCAGTAGGTTAGTTTGCTGGTAGGGTCTGCCTATCGGGACTGGGCGACAGGGGCTGGACATGCCCTAGAGCCCTCCCTCAGTCCCTCCCGCTGGCCAATCTCCCACATCTCTTCCCTGCCCTGATGGTGCACCAGTAGGGTCCCTCGGCCTGGCCTGTGCCCTCTCTCAATCTGGGACCCCTTGGGGGATGTCGGAGAGCCGATTTTGGCCTGATGCCACAGGCTAGGCCGAGGGATCCCACTGGTGCACGAATTTGTACACCAGGCCTCTAGTATTTAATAAAATAGTAACAATGGTTATTTATATAAAAAATAAAAATATAAAAATTTAATGAAGTGAAAAGTAGTATGAATTGAGAAGAAATCTTAATAAAAAATAATGCCAATTTTAGAAAATAGTTTGTTTCTAATAAACCATTTTTTGATCTAAAAGGTAAAGAGAGTTCTACTAAGTTAATAAAAGTTATGTGAGGCACCAAAGACTTATCTACTTTTCTTTCCAGATCACCCCAAAGACAAAGAGGAAAAATAAGTGATGATAAAAAGGAAAATAAGATGTTAGAAATCTAGTAACAACTTTAGTATTGACATTAAGTCAATATTTAGAATGTTAATAATTTTACACAAATACTAGGGAAAGTATTCTTTTGTACAATTAAGATAAACAAAATTTTCTAATTTTTTCTAGACATATTTTCCACCAAAGCAAAATAACTATTATATATAAATCTTGTTTTACTTTGCCATAAAGATTCTTTTTTAAAAAAAAAATAAAGCTTTTTAAATAACTAGGTTTGGCTTATTTGTATAGCCATATACCTAATCTTTTTAAAAATGTTTTTATTGATTTCAAAGAGAGAGGGAGAGACAGAAACATCAATGATGAGAGAATCATTGATCAGCTGTCTCCTGCACGCCCCCCACCCGTGCCCTGACAGGGAATCGAACCATGACCTCCTGGTTTATGGCTCAATGCTGTACCACTGAGCCACACCTGCCAGGTTACCTAATCTATACGAATAATAGCCTAGGGACATCACGACCGGATGGACGACCGAACACCTGGGTCCCAGCGGAGGCGGTGGGAGTCAGGCCTGGGTCCCTGCAGCGGCGGTGGGAGTCAGGCCTGGGTCCATCACCAGTTAGAAGGCATCTCAGGGTGAGGACCATCACCTCAGCCAGAACTCAATAATGTCACCTGGCCTGGCCCCTCCTCAGAGGAAGCCCTTTCCTCCATATTCACTGCAGAGGACAGACAGGGATGCCTAAGAGGCTGAGGCCATGGTGCCCCATCCCTACCCTACTCTCCTGGCCTCCTTCACCTGTGGCCCCCACAGAAGGGTATGTATGACAGCCCTTCCCCTGCTACCTCTCACCACTGTCTCCAGCCATCCCTCAGCACACAGGAATATTGGCTTTCAAACTTGCCCTACTCACTTCCTCTCACCCGCTTCCAGGGCCTCTGCTCTGGATGGGGC